AAGTTCGTCCCCGCATTCCTGCTAGCGTCGTTTACATGCAGGATATTCTTTGGCTGTTGACCTTGAAAAAATCAGAATATCGTCCGCAAACCGCACGTGGCTCAAATGGTGCCCATTTATGTTCAACCCCAGATTTTTCCGAGTGAGTGTTTTGAAAACCTCTTTTGAAACTGCTGTGAATAACTTCGATGATATTGCATCGTCCTGTTGAATACCTTTTTCTATTTGAAACTTACTTCTGCTTAAAGCTTTGCACTAGCAGCTGATTTCCTGTGAATCACAGCGAAGACAATCCTGTTTCTATACTCGATTCCTTGTCTCCTCGAGGATGCTGAACGAATGTAGACTGAGTCTAAGGCCTTCTCGAAATCTACGAACTCCAGGCACTAAAAAAGTTTACATTCGTTGCTTATCTAATACTTGTTTTATCACCTGGAGATGATCCATCGTACTAAATCTATTTCTGAATCTTGGCTATTACTCTGATGTGTGGCGTCCCGGTTTTCTTGAAGTCTGTTCGTGAATATCTTGATATCAAGATGATCAGAGTCAAATTCTCCAAATCCCTTCATGTGGAGTACAATGATAGATATAGTAATCCATTTTGGAATTTTAATTTGCTTCAGATAGCATAAAAACAAGTGCGCGGATATTTCAGACAATGCCTTACCTCCCAATTCCACGAGTTTTACCCACTGTAATGCTACCAGGAGCCTTTCCTCAATTCGACTTTAATTGCATATTACATTTCTTCTGACAAACATATGTAGAATTTCGTCAACTTAATTAGTGTCTTCAAGCTATTTACCGTCACCTATGGTGTTGCTGTTTTCCGCTTTATGCTGTTTTTAATAGAAATCTACTTTTTCGGTTATCTTTCTGTGTTTTGTAAATTGGGGTTTTTGCGAAACATGAAAAGTATATGCAATATCGGGTTCAAAAATATGCTTTCTGGCTAGCATGATGTTACTCTAGCTGATAAATTCATCTAACCTTTGCAAATGCTAAAAATATCAGAATCTTACGTGCCTTGCTTCTAGGACCAGGAGAGCAGGGCATGATCCTAGGCTCGATAGAGGTATGCGTTTGCAAGCATACTTCCGAAATTGTAACTTATATTTCGATCTAAAATAAGTTCCGTAATACAGTTGGATGTCTGTTGAGGCCATATTGCATTCTTAAGTCCATTACTTACGGTTAGAATTAAGAAGTTGGTTGTGGTTAGATTAGGATCAGCCTAAAGTTCATGCTTCTCTTTCAGCGCTCGGTTTGACTTGGGCGTTTTTGTATGGCTTTTACTTCAGTTTCCATTTAGGTTGATTTTGTTCTCGATGTGTTTATTGCGGGCGTAGATTTTTAAGGTAATTAACTTTTATTTTTTAGATCAGTTGCTGACGTAGATTTGTTACTTTCAACAGCCTCCTCGGTTTGAAGACGAACTCTGCTTCTGCTAGCTTCCTCACATGACATGACCGGGTAGTTTAGTGTACCATTTAGTATCTGCAGCACAACTGACAGAATTTTTTCTGTTTTCTCTTCTGCTTCTCTTCAGAATTCTTCATTTCTGAAACATGAAGGTTTTCCTTAAAACGGTGCATTCCTTATAAAGCCGTTTGCATCTCGGCCGTTCTCCACCACATGGCTTATATTACTGTTCTTATATTCGATCTAGAGGTGTACGCTAGGTGTATATATGTTAATAGCTAAGTATATCCGTTAAATGAAGTGTAAATACGTTGTAACTGTGACACTGCAGGTATTAAAATGTAACTAGTTCTAGCTTGTCTGCAACTGTTCTTTCCCTAACTTCTGAGCTCCGGGAGGTAGTATATTGCTGTTGCGTTATCCATGTAGAATTAGCCAATTAGTATGGTAATTGCGTAGTTTGCCGAATGTTGAAAGAATCTTTCACGCGTTGTTGAGCATAACATAATTTTCAATTAGTTGTTCGACGGGCAGCGCAGTATTATTTAAGAGTCCGGATGTAATGATTATTTCGAAAGTAACGCATGATGTAGAGCTTTCTTATGACATAAGCTATGTGCTTACAGCGTACGATAGCATTACAGTCCGTTGTTGACCGCAGTAGCTAAGCTCTTTTTATTCCATCAAACTTTTCTCCTATGCATCATTCCGGCATTTCATGCAGCCAGGACAGACATGCTCCAAGACAGGTATCAGCTGATAGCTTTGAGTACAGCTGGTGAAAAGCTTTCTAGTTGCACAGGCTGCTGAAAATCACTGTCGGGACAGTTTGAATTGTTTTATATAGGAAAATATAAGGAATCGACTTGGTTTTCACCGTAGGTGTCAAAGATCTGAGGATTCTGGACAGATATGAGTAGATGACACATCATTAAGCTGCTCTTTCAGATCACAGATCTCCTGAGGATATGGCGAAAGAATCGTGATTCTAGAAGAGCTATTACCACATGAACTTTACACGAAATTTAAACGTCACATTGAGTTGAAAATTTCACTACTGAAACTTGATATATTTTTTGCTGTGCGGTAATAGCGAGCAACTTTGTAGCACAAAGCGATATAGCGTTTTGATTAAAGTGATGATGATGGGATGAGTTTTAATTGGTTTTAGACCGTTTACTTATAAAACGTTGATGAACACCTGAAAAGTAAGATTTATATCTGCTGACAGTGTAAGATGTATCAGGAATTTTGCAACGAATCGAAGCAGCGGGCTTGAATTAAAGGGCATGAGTGCTTTATTGCGCTAAGACAAATCTTCTTCGATTATTTCGATTTCGTAAAGTTAGTTTTACTCAGCTCATTTTTATTACTTATGTTTTCCGTTTACTTAAAGTCAGTTACTTGTTTAAAAATAACTAAATGGAGGCGTAGTTCTTCGTCATCAGGATAGTTTTTAATGATTTTTTTTTCACAGATGTGCTATATACGGTTGCCTCGAGTTCCCGGCCATACCAGATTTTACTTCAGGGACCATGGGTGCGATCTGTCAGTCATTTTCGATAACCGCTTTTCTTTACGAGTCACAGAGACAAATGGATCACACAATGTCTCCACCGTTCCTGATCCTATGGAGGCGTGTGTGCTTCGGGCGAAGATAACCTGAGTCTGGAGCAGAGTCCTTCAGTGCACTTGCCCCACTTTTTTCTTGGCTGTCCACGGGGTTTTTGGCTAGTCGGTTGAGCAAGTAGTAGCTGTTTCGCCTTTGTTTCTGAAAGTATTCGCAACTGTGACTTCTAAATCTAGAGAAGCAACGGCCCTGTACACCGGTGCCATATCTTGAAAACAGTTGCGAACAATTAACGTTAAGCAGTTTGTTACTTTCCATTTCCTGGTCAACCATTCCAGGTATTTAATAGTGTACAATCGCCTTGTGCGTTTAACAGTGATCTCTCTGTCCACTGTCTTTTTGATATGTCTTTTCAAGCCAAGCGTAGCGCGGAACTCTTTTAACATACTTTTCATATCTTTGACTGTTAACACCCCTGTCTTTATGTCTATTCTGAGTTATCTGTGCAGATCGCGACGATGTAAGACATCTGGCCGAACAATGAATGATAGTCTGAATTATAAGATGTTTTGGTAGTTACTTTAGTATGGGCATTCTATTTTAACTGCTGTATACGTCGATCACTAGCCAACACACAACGGCGCTGGTATAGATGAATTGAGGTTTTCACTCGGAACAGCTGCTGTATCGATCGGATAATATGAAACCCAAATGACAGGTTAATTTTTTGGAGCGTTTGAGATGGCATTGCTTATTAGAGGGTTGGTTGCTCGTTTGCCATCGACAGTAGGATTCGAATAGAGTCATTTTGATATGCACGATAGTATTCAACTATGTCTCATAGACTCCTTGAAGATTTTTCATGACGGAAATATGTGCGAGCGGAAACGAAGTGCGTGGTCACTGCGACGCACAGTGGGTATTTCAAGTCGGTTGTGCAACTCTGCTTTTGTAAATAGCCATTCGTTATTCGTAAACGCACCTCGTTTACGGTTTGAAATTTTACCTCCGCCTGTCATGTGTCGCCTACAGTAACATGATATTTTTATAGTTAAATGTTGGTTGTTAAAAATGCAACCGGTAGTGTTTACTCAAGCATCCTGATCGACACCAACTCGCACTGTCAGCCCGGTGACCTCACGGACTCGTACGGATGGCTGGTGCAGTTTGTTCTGGCATCGCTGGCCTTTGCATCATTGGTCATAAAACGTTTGCTAGAACCAAAGTCGTCGCGTCGAGAATGGAAGGTCTGGTTCTTCGATACATCGAAGCAGGCCACCAGCGCCGCCGTCATCCATTTTTTAAATGTTTTCATTGCACAGCTCTTCCAGGGTGATCCTTGCACATGGTATGTGATTAGTTATTTATTAGATTCAACGCTCGGACTGCTGTTCATCTACGTCAGCGTGAAAATGGTTAATATTGTCGCGTCTTGCAGTGAAAGGTATTCGATGTTACAGTTCGGCGAGTATCTGGAGCCACCTCAGTGGCGGCCGTGGTTCTATCAGCTATTTACATTCGTTTCGATCACCCTTGCAGAGAAGACGGTTGTCACCATTGTTCTGCAGTTCAAGTTTTGGAAGGCGGTGCGTGAAGTGATCCTGAGACCAGTGACCAACCCGAAGCTGGAGCTTACCGTCGTCATGCTGGTTATTCCGTTTTTCGTCAACACACTCATCTTTTGGGTGGCGGACAGTTTTATGATGAAAAAGCGTTGCGCGAAGCGAAAGCTGCTTGTCAGCAGATTGGACGATGGTTGTCAGGAGAGGCTGCTGGCGGCGACTTGTGGCGAGTCGGATTTAGCCACCGCGTCTGATACACCCCTGCGCATCAGACATTCTACGGTGGACATCGGTTGATCACTTTCGTTTGAACTAGCACTTCTTGTTTCCGGTTGTGTTTTATCCTTCCCGCTTCGCTGTTGCTGCTTTCATTTCCTGCGCTCCTTTTGAAAACAAAATTTGTAGCGTATTCACCGTATTTTACTTTGACAACGGGTCTGCTTAAACGTTTGTTCTATCTTTCCCTCATTTGTCTCGCAATATTATCTTCGAATGTTTGTGTTTAACTCTTCTAAACGAAGGTCGGTTGCTTTCGACACACCGCGTGTTTTCATAGATCGCTCAGTCAGCCAGACAAATAGTTCTTAATCGTTGGTAAAGTCAAGAATATAAAAGTCTTATCACTGAGTTTTCAGAATCTTAGTACGGTGTTTGTTTGTCTGTGTAAATAAGAACTCTTACGAATAGGAATAGGAACTCTTACTGACACGTTGGTACAGGGACATCATGCCATGATTCTGAGAACTTCGTGATAAATAGAAGAAAAACTTTTATTGGTTTTGTACTTACCTGCTATTTGAAACAATTTATCTATATCAATCGGCTCAGTAATCCTCAGGAATGTTTTCTGTTTCCCTCATTCGCCAGGAAGCCTGTTCTCTATATGTTTAGCATTTCAGCCCATCTTCATGTTGGTTGGCACAATTACTTTACCGATTCTACGCTGTAATAGATTTACGAGCGGCATCGTTAACACTTCCGGTGCGTCGAAGCACCTTGCATCATTTACCTTGACTGGAACTTCAAAACAAAGGTGGACTATCCTCGCGTCCCATTTTTTCTGAGACGAACTATTTGATTAAGGCGTCTCATCTTTCCTTCATTCTCTGCAAATGTGATTGCAGTATTTTTGTAGTTTTGCGCATCGGTCTTCTGATCTACACGTCATTACTGCACTTTTTCTTTGCTTACATGGGCTTACTTGGTCACAGAAGCGGCAATGAATACGATGGTATTTTCGCTCTTCCGGTAAGTTCATGCGTCTCGCATTGCTTACCTTACTTGTAGTTGAAATTTTCAAGCGACGATGGTGCATCTTCGATGGCCATACTTGCTATGATAATCTTTGCGACAGATGCTCTGAATCTACATTTACACCCTGTGCTGAATTTAGTCAGCTATTAAGTGGTTCAGGAGGAATTGCAATTGCAAGACGTGCGCGTCAGACTGCGTAGCTGTATGTTTTGCCCACTTCGGCATTACCACACCAAGCATTATTGCGGTCGCTGTTTCTCGCAGATCAGCGACCGGCTATCCTTTTCTTGGCTAGTTGCACAGAAGTTCAGTTGGATGAATTACTTGCTCACAGGAAATAGCAGTTAATAAAAGAATTTGCGCTACAAGTATGGTTTGAACTTGGCATCTCTAAAGTGCAAAGCAGACTACTAACCCATTTGCCACGTCTTCTGCACGTAATACAGATGCCTCCCACACTGCGTGGCTTAACATTTGCGTCGTATGGACGTGGGTTGTATTCTGAGGAATATTCTTTGCAGTTGCCAATGCATTTCGATTTAGTGTGATTCTGCACGAGATCATGGCTTCGTATAATTACGCCCTGTTCGATACTTGTCTTCTGCATCTGCCTATGCTAGGGCAATTCAGGATTTATTTTCTGTTGCCATGAAGTTCAGACGATTGTTTTTTATTTTGTCATTTTTAATTTCTATTACATCATTTATTAATTCAAGTTCAGCGAGCTCGTATAATGGTAGTCATAGGCCATTCTGACAGATAGGCGAAAAACGAATTTTTCTGGACCTGGATTTGTTTTTAATTAGTGCGAAAAAACAGCTACGGTTGCACTATTATGCATCGAAGTTGAGGGAATTCACCCCTAGAATTATTCATTACAGCGCCTACAGAACTGAAAGTAGGCAGAAGTGCGGTGCCTATATCGAAGTTGTATTTCTGATGCTTGTTCTCAAATTGGGAAAGATTTTGAGGCGAAACCTAAAACTGATGGGATTTCCTCCGTAATTTCATGACTCTTAAATGGAGGGCTATATTAGTTTTTGAAGGTATGACAAAAAACCTATAAAACCGGCTTAATAAATTTTTGTCATGACGATGTTAGAATTTCAAACGAAGTGGTTCCCATAAACTTAAAGACCCCGAGAGGTTGTTGCATAAAAATGTGGCTGCAGAGATAGCATAATTGTTTCTGTCGTTTAAACAGCTACTCGCCAGCTAAGACCTGAAGTAGCTGAATCACCAGTTACTAAGCACCATGGAAATTTCGGGAAACGGAACTCTGCCAAACGTTGTGTCGACGAAGAAACATCTGAAGCTTTTGGATTAAAGCAAATGTCTCATATCTTGAATTAGTAGTAAACATAACACGGAAAGAAGTTCGGAAGTGGTAAACGGTGCCAGTGATATACTAGCATTCTATCGACAGCGCTAGGAGGAGAAAATTTATGCCATTACTCAGGTTTCATGTAACGAAGGCTGGAATGAAAGGATGTTATATTAGAGGGTAAATTTTCAGCTTTTGCAGCAGACGCGAGAATTGATTATTATGCATACATATTCGTATTAGGCGATTTCTTGTGTTCAGCGGGTTAAATTAATTTGTAATCTGTTGGAAGTGAACGTAGGATTCAAGTAAGAACCGAAGAATATGTAAGACTGTGACCCGTTCAGCGGACCTTCTTTAAGATTAGTATGCTGCTCAGAAGAAGTGATGAGAGTGGGTCACCTTCTGTCTACCACGCCTTTGCTCTGGTGAATCTGTGTAGCCGAGTTGGCAAAGGAGTCGGACTCTTAGTAGAAAAGTCGCGAGTTCAGATTTCATCCGGATGACACATTTCAACCTTTCAAGGTAGATAAATGATAAATAGCATTTCCTAATGTCAGGTTATGACAAGGTTATGGCAGTTTCCCATTATATCGCCGTATCGCCCTTTGTGCTGGTTAACGCAGGACGCGATGCACTGTTCGTTCGAAATCTGCATTGTAGTATTCCCCTGTTGTGCACGCAGCCGTCAAACAAGCCTCATAACAACATGAGTTATAGCTCAATATTCGTTTATGACAGCGGGTCAACACAGAGAAGCCTACATAAAACCCGTAAAAACAGCTATGCATGCTCTTGGTAATTGTCGATCCGAAGGGAAGAGCGGGCTGCGAAAACGAATACATGAATGAGTATCGCTACTGGGAAACAATGCAAATGACTATATGCGGTAATGTTCCCCTAGCTTGGACTTTGCAGGGCACTACTGGTACCGATAGCATTGAAACTGCGATCACGTCGCGCCATACGGTCCATGAAAGAAAAGTATCCATTACCGAAATATAAGGAAACCGAAACCCCTCGGTTGTGTCCTGTCTTTATCTGTAG